GGGGGGGGGGGGGGGAATACCCCTCCTTATTTAAGGCTGAATTTAAAGTACATTCTTTGGACTTCTGTAATTCTGAATTGTTTGGGATCAAGTTCATTTCAGAATCAGTGGCATCACAGCTGTTTAGTGAATCACTGCAGTTGTTAAGTTAGTAACATGGTTGTTACATGAATCTGGCTTCCCCATTGATTTTGCTCATCAAGTTTCCAAACGGTGGTCCCATGACGCTGGGACACTGCAACCATCATAAATATGAACCAATCGCCAAGCGAGCAAATTTTGATCACGTGACCATGGGGATGCCACAATTGTCACAATCATGAAAAACAGTCATAAGTCACTTTTTCAGTGCCGTGGTTAATTTTGAACAATCACTGAAGAAATGGTTGTAAATCAAGAAGTACCTGCACATTGTAATAATGGAGGTATGTAGACTGTAATGAAACAGTAATGTTGATACAATATTGTTTTAAATTGTCCTCATCCAGCCATCTAATTGGGAAGTTGTAGTACTGGATTTTCCCTGGACAAAGTATCTTGGAAGATGCTTGCAATTCTAACTGTTTACACATTCTTGCAGGAGAACCTGGCTTATAAAGTATGAAAATATGTACATGTCACAATCAAATGCTAGGTCTCAATTAGCCAGCGACTCAACTTTGGAATTTAACAATTTGCCAGCTGATACTGAACGAACAAGAGGCACCAACCATTCACAACCACAGACGACAAAAGTTGATTGTGGAATTTTCTGAACAGACCTGGCAAATTTCTCTGATTGATGTGTCACTATTTTCAAGATGCTGTGAAATGCCATGGTAGAAAGCCATGTAAATCTAAAAACTTAGAGAGAAAAGAGAATTCCACCAGAAGTCTAGATTTAATATCAGCTGCTGAAGAGGCTCCTTGAATGAAAAGTGAAGCATTTTCAAGGGAAAAACCAAGAAAGTCCGCTTGACTTCAATAGAATTGAAGAAGCTTCTTTGGTGAGAAGCGAAACGTTTTCAAGGGGAAAAAATAAACCAAGATAAAGCACCTTTGGGACAACCATGATCTGGATGACTGAGAATCTCCATAGATATAGTTAATGGAAACTTTTCTTGGTACTGATGGCAAAATTTTTAAAAAACAACAACAACAAGATGACTGCTGTAAATTACATGTGTGATGATTCGATCTGATATCTATGTTTAATCCCTCTCCAGTCCCCCAAATATAAATGATAAGACTCTTTGATTATTGGTAATGTTGGAAGAAATATCCATCTGGTTTAGTTCCAAGCTGGCACTGGAGACAAAATGGAGGCTGGAGGCTGATTGGAAAAGGAGGCCCATTTATTGATGAAGCAGAACCACCAAGCATGTGTGATTCAGGGTAGCTGACCACATGGTGTTGAGAGGTTTTTATACCTTCTCTTGGGCTCTGAACTTGAGCTTCCTGTTCCTGTGAAAGAACATGTGTTCTATTGGCTGTTGTCAGACTCCCATGGGGCCATGTACAAATCCTAGGGGTCTGTCTGAGCTAAGCTTGGTTGAAGTTTGGCCGATGCAATGAAGGGGCTTGTTGGGCAATTCCTATTGTGGCTGAAGGCTAACCCTACCTTTGTTCAGATCTTGCTTCAGGGAGTAATGGATTACCAAATCTGCATTTCTAAAAGCTGGCCTCATCTTAGTATCTGCTTGGGAGTGGTAGGGAGCTGAGGCTCTGAATTTCTGTCTCCCTTAAGATTTTTTTTATTTCTCTTTTAGTGGTAATATTTTATTCTGCCTTTTAAAACTATTTCTCAAAATTGTTCATTCTTCTAGGAGAGAGGTGGGTGCTAACTTTCTACAGTAATAAAACTGACTGCACAAGCAGCAAGGGTAAAAAAAAGGGACTGATTTTATGTTAACGTGAAATAAACGCTTTACTGAATACATCCTCAAGCAATCTTAATAGCGGTTTAGTGTTTGTCGACAATCATGTCTTTGCATTTTCTCCCTTCCTCTAGATCACAGTTTCAAGTTCTCCATTGTAATCTATGAAATAAATTCCCTTAAATCTGAGTGCCTGGTTTTCTTTTACTTGACATAATGGGCCTTTATTAGTTTTTATGGGCCATTCTCTCTTCCAGATGAAATATTTCATGACTAGCCATGCAAATCTCTTACAGGATTTATGATGCTGCGATCCCAAGATATAAAACTATGCCTAGTTTCATACAAGACTGTAGTTTTACTTTACAATGACACAAAGCTCACGAGAAAGAGTTATTTTAGACAATCCAGATTTTTGAAGTAGTACCTGCTTACAAAATGGCTTCCCTGGTGTTGCCTTCTAAATTTGAAGTTTTGGGTGCATTCCCTGACCCCTCTAAAGGAATCTGGTAGTACCTGTTTCCAATTAGCAATTTTTATTACAAGGTATAAGCTTCGGTAAATCTTATGCATTTAAATTTCATAAGCTACCATTAGTTTCCTGCTGAAGTTTTGTTGCTATGGAGAATAACCTAACTCTCCTCTCCTCTGATCCTTCTCCTACATTACAGACAATCCTTGGTTTAAAGTGATTATTCTGACTGGCAGTGTCCGTCCTCAATTTAAGACCACAATTAGGACTGGAATTGGGGTCATTAAGTGACTGTACCCAATTTTACCACAGTCGTAAAATGGGGCAAAACTCACTTCACAAGTGTCTCACTTAAGAACAGAAATTCTGGGCTCAATTGTGGTCGGAAATCAAGGACTACCTGTACCGTAAAGTTAGCTACAGAAGAAAATTTGCTGCCTCTTTTGAACCGATCAAAAGCCAAGAAGAAAAAAACCAAATAGAGTGTAGGACATCCCCAACCAGAATGGTCTTTTCATTTCATATGACTTCATGAGTAGTGTGGCAGTCACAGTTTTGAAGATGGGTCATAATTTTTTTCAAGTCCATCGTAATTCCAAACAGTCTTAAGCAAAGAGTCGTAAATCAAGAACTACCTGTACTTTGTCCCAAAGGTGCTTTTTTTCAAGAGGCAACTGGACTTTCTGGGTTTTTTTTTTTTTTTTTTGGAAGACGTTTTGCTTCTCATCCAAGAAGCTTCTTCAGCTCTGACAGGATGGTGGGGAATGGAAGTCAGAGCTGAAGAAGCTTCTTGGATGAGAAGCAAAATGTCTTTAGAGAAAAAAACCAGAAAGTCCAGTTGCCTCTTGAAAAAAGCACCTTGGGGACCACCGTGACCTGGATGACTGAGAATCTCCATAGACATTTACCTGTACTTTGCTTTGGAAAGATTTGGTAAGGATGTTTGAACCAGTTAATAAATGACTAACATATTTGTTTTCTCAAATTTCAAAGATGAGAAGCAAAGAACATCATTGTGCTGTGAAAAATGAGCTATATATGGAAAAGTTCAAAAAAAGTTACTCACATTAGATTGGATTTGGTTGATATTTAGAAACAGAAATAATTTGAGAATTAGAAGCATTAGGAAACATGCAGTAAAGGCTAATTAAATTGGGTATTTTACCTCAAAATTTAATTAAAGCTACTATATTTAAAACTTCAAGGTAATGTTGTGAAACTCACCTATAAATTCTTCCCTTCTGAGTTCAATCAAATGCCAAACCCCCAAAATATGCTAATAAGATTTCTAAAATAATCAGGTGAAAGAAGAGAAATCTGTAAAAATTGCATGGAATAAAAGAGATAAATTGGGATGGAGATAGTTTTTTTTTTTAAGACCCTAGTTGTGCTATGCAACCAATTCTTCAAAGCAGTGGGAGAAGAATGATTAAAAGGTAAAGTTATAAGTTTTTCTTTCAGTCGTGTTTGAGTCTAGGGGGCTGTGTTCATCTCTGTTTCTTGGCCAAGGGTGCCAATTGTCCAAAGACAATTTCCATGGTCAGGTGGCCAATATGGCAACATGTCAAAGGCACATGGAATGCTGTTACCTTTCCAAAATGGTACCTTTTATCTACTTGCATTTGCATGCTTTTGAACGGCTAGGTGGGCAGGAGCTGAAGCAAGGAACGGGTGCTCGTTCTGTTGGGCAGAATTTGGGTCTCAAACGGGGGCTTTCAGCTTTCCAGATGGCAAGCTCAGCATCTTTAACCACTGACCCACCGCACCCCTCAAAAATGAAGCTTGTCAGAAGAGAGATACAAATTCACACTGTTCTGTCGCGGGAAAAGATCTGACTCGAGACCAGCGTGAATTCAGCTCTTTATTTGCTCTCAGTAACTTCAACAAAACCGGAGCCGCGGCAGCCTCTTTTATAGCGGCTGCTCGCGGCTCACGGCCAATGACGGGTCCTTAAACTTCCCGCCGTCAGGCGGACCAATTACAAAACAGTATTCAAGTATTCTGGATGGACCAATCAATAGGCGGCATTGGCGGACCAATCAGAATGTAGTATTACGAGTATGCAAATACATATAACACACACCCTCATTCTTAGACTAGGAACAATATTAAAAGAACAAGATATAAATGGAGATACCTATTTTTTGCTAATTGTATTTCAACCACAAAGAAGAGAGGTCATTTTTTTTTATGTTTTGTGACCTGGGAGGGGAGAAGTTAACACTCAATGTAAATCCCAACAACTGGTTCTCTGCCCAGTTGCTGGGTGGGCGTGGCCATGGTGGGCATGGCCTACCGGAACTTCCAGGAAAGCTGTTTTTTGCCTTCCCCAGAATCCGGAGGCTTCCCTCGGGCCTGTGGGAGGATGAAAACAGCCTCCCCTGGACTCCAGAGGCCCTCCAGAAGCCGGAAACAGGCCCATTTCCAGACTTCTGGGGAGGGGCATTTTTCACCTTCCCCAGAGTCTGGAGGAGGCTTCCCTCGGGGCTCTGGGAGGGCGAAAACAGCCTCCCTCAGGCTCAGGAGGCCCTCCGGAAGCCAGAAACAGACCCATTTCCGGACTTCCAGAACCTTCAGGAAAGCCGTTTTCCTGCCCTCCCAGAGTCTTCATGCAGACCCTACACTTACCTGCATCGGAAACGAGCTACATAGAGACTCCTCCAGCTGGTCAGTTCAACTACCAGTTTGATGAACCAGATGTAAATTTAACATCCGGTTCACTAGAACTGGCCCAAACCAGTTGAATCCCACCCCTGCCCTAAACCAAACCAATTAGAGTAATGTTATACTTAAAGTGTGGTTCAAGGACTCCTTGGGGGGTCTCGAAGACCATTTCAGGAGTCTGTGAAATCAAAAGAATTTGAAAGATACTAAAGGCATTTGTAAGTTACCTTAGCCGATGTTTTGAACCACCCCACAAATCCATTGTCCTTGCAGAACTGGTCCATTTTGAAGCCATTATTCACCAGTAACTCTTGGCCTTGATCACATTTGTTTGCTAACAGGACAGTTGGCACCACCTGGCCATTAGGGAGAGTCAATTTAGTGTCCAAATCCTGCTTCCACTTGGTTACGGCTTCAAAGGTAGCTGGCCTTGTAACATCAAAGACGACAAAAGCTCCCACAGCTTCTCGGTAGTAGACCCGGGTCATGTTCCCAAACCTTTCTTGACCTATAAGGATAAAAGGACACTTTTTACATCGGCTACACTATGAAAGATTTGCAGGGAAGCTGAAAAAGGAAGGGAAAGGAAGACAGACATAAGCAGTGGTGTGATTCAACGGGTGTAACACCCGGTTGAATCGCTTTGTGCACATGCTCTACGTTTAAAAAAAAGCCTATTTTCAAGTCTAATACTTACCTTCTACTGCAGCCCCGATGACTAAAACAGCTGAGGCACAGCAAACTGCTCTGCTGCGCGAATCAGCTGTGCTAAAAAAAACAACCAGGAAATAAAGGACAGAAAAGAGCAGGGATGGGGGGCGGGGCCAAATGCTCACCGGAACTACCAGTTCACTCGAACTGGTAGAATCCCACCACTGGACATAAGCAATCAAGAGATAATGAATGAGTCAGTTCATCTTGGAAGTCTTTTACTCCAGCTCCCTGCTCAAGTAGGAGACCCTACCCGGTTTGCCCTCAACTATTTGAACAGCCATGAAGAAGAGAGGCTCAGCCTATTTCCCAAATCACCAGAAGACAAGATGAGAAATAATGGATGGAAACTAATCAAGGAGAGAAGCAACTTAGAAGTAGGGAGAAATTTCTTAACAGTAAGAACCAGAGGTGGGATTCAGCAGGTTCTGACCAGTTCTAGAGAACCGGTAGCGGAATTTTTGAGTAGTTCGGAGAACCGGCAAATATCACCTTTGACTAGAGATTTTACGGTATCCTTCCCTTGCCACGCCCACCAAGCCAAACTCACAGAACCGGTAGTAAAAAAAATTGAATCCCACCACTGGTAAGAACAATTCACCAATAGAACGGCTTGCCTTCAGAAGTTGTAGGGGCTTCAACACTGGATGTTTTTAAGAATAAACTGGACAGTCACTTGTCTGAAATGGTATAGGTCTCATGCTTGAGTAGGGGTTGGACTAGAAGATCTCAAAGGTCCCTTCCAACTCTCTATACAGTTTAACTTATAAACAACTTGGTTCACATGATGAAAAAAAATCTTTTGAAGCATGAAACAGACTCTACCTTACTTAACACAGACAAAAAGAGGCACAAACCTTTGTGACATGGAAAACATTGTCTGAACATTGCAAATTGGACAAAGGGCAAAACAACTGGGAAACTGTTTTGTAGAATTTTGAAAGAAAACGCTCAAAAAAAGACTCTAAGCAGGCACAGATTTAGCCTTTAGGTGAGCATTTTAAACAGTTATCTCCATGGACACAGTTGCTAGAAATACTATAAAGCTGCAAATGATTCTATTCCACTATTTCTTTCATATTAGTGTAACTCTTGGTCTACAGCAAGTTAGCTGTAGCAAGTTGGCCTTGGCGAGTTGGCCATGGTGAGTTGGTGTGGTGAATTGCCATAGACCCATTGAAGTCTACCTCATATATTGAGTGACAGTCAACCCAACTGTAGCCAGATAATTATCAACCTGAAAAAGAATGGAATCAGACTTATAACACCAATCTATATTATTCAGCTACAAAGGGACTGAAATGTTTGTTCAAAGTCTCAAGACTGCTCCGTCTAGAGAAAGGTTCACACTGTGTCAAATACTTGCTATACTTCTATTTACCTATTGCAACACCCCACACAGACAATAACAATTCAAAGGCCAGCAGTCTTGTTCTTTGCTCTTGCTTTATGTTTAAGGTCGGACCTTCTCAAATCTAATTTAAGCAGAGTTCAGAAAAACAGCTAACTGGCAACTGAGAACGGTCCTTATCCAGAATATCAGCATATTGTCCAGCTGAAGGAAACAAAACCACTAAAATAATTTATGACTGATAATAGAAACAGACATAAATAATTAGACCTGCTGTCGGACTGAGGGGCTAGAGTAGACCTAGAAGCTGGGGAGTTGTGACAGCATCACGTCCTCCATTTAAAGCAGCGCCTGCAGAAAACAGACACTTCAAACAACTGGCTTCAGGCAGGTCTAGGGGGCTGGATCCCCTTAATGCAGAGTCCCCCAATCTTTCCAGTAGGTGGAGCATGGGCGGTGGTGGGATTAAAAAAAATTACTACCAGTTCTGTGGGCGTGGCTTTGGTGGGCATGGCTTGGTGGGCATGACAGGGGAAGGTTACTATAAAATCTCCATTCCCACCCCACTCCTGGGGGAAGGTTACTGCAAAATTCCAATTCCCTCCCCAGCCCAGTAACCTGCTTTCCAGCTCTGTTCTCCTGTGCAGGGCAACCAAAGAAGAGCCAGCCAATCAGCTGGGACTCAGGAGGCAGGGAAGAGATGGGGGCGGGGCCAGTCAGAGGTGGTATTTGCCGGTTCTCTGAACTACTCAAAATTTCCATTACCGGTTCTCCAGAACTGGTCAGAACCTGCTGGGCATCTCTGGGCATGGGGTGAGGAGAGGGCCTGGTTATGAATCAGCCATGAGCAAGTGTGCCCGTAGTTCCACACGTGTCATCATTCCAACTAACAAACGCTAATCCAGTGCACTCTCAGGCAAGCATTTTCTCCAAGTTCCATTTTATTAGTCATGTTGACACATCTGGGAAACCTGAATCTGAGAGTTCCGGGTTTTCCCTTCCCAAAATAAAATCAAAAATCCCTCCCCTGCACCCACCAGTTCATTCTATGGCCCAATCAAAGCATCGTCCCAACTGGAGACATTCCTTCAGGCACTCCTCTCCAGGTGCAGGGTAACATGTCCTTGACTTTCTGAGAAAGAATGTTGTTGAGTCTAATCCTCTGCCTCTCTATGAAATCTCCCCTCCCAAATTCCCAGGCACTAAATGTGGTAGCCTAGAAGCTTCCAAGTAAAATATGGCTTCCAAGGCTGACAGGGCACACTTGACCACCACTTCTGCAGCCCAGTTCCAAATGGATCAAAGCCCGATAGCGGGCTGCGGCCCAGCGGTTGGGGATTGCTGCCTTAATGGGCTATGTTTCCTTTCTGCAATTTTGTCTGTTATACAAACCCAACTTGTGTGATTCATTTAAATTTCAACTCCTGTTGCAAAACTCAGAAACTGCAATTACAGATAAAGTCCTTGACTTACGACCACAATCGATCCCAAAATTTTCATCGGGGAACCAGTTAAAGTCACTTCCCACCCCGCAATGCGGTTGCAACTTTGTCTGTTACACAAATCCATCCTGCATGGTTCATTTCACCTTCAACACATGGGGCAAACTCAGACACTGTAATTTACAGGTGATATCCTTCATTTACGACTATAACTGAGCCCAAAATTTCCATAGGGGAACCAGTGGTAAGTCACTTTTTTCCCAACATGGTTGCAATTTCAAATGGTGACTAAACAAAAGAATGTCAGTTGAGAACTACCAGCGTTTAACCCTTTGCATTTTGCAAAAGGGTTTTGCTTCCAACACCTTTTGAATCAGATACGAGCAATAGCAATAGCACTTAGGCTTATATACTGCTTCACTGGGCTTTCCAGGCCTCTCTAAGCCAGCGGTCGCCAGCTGTGAGAAAATTTTGGTGGGCCGCAGAGAAATCTCACCCCCAGAATCCCCCCCTCAAAGCAATTAATCCCGGCTGTGCAGAAACACAAGGCTGCGCCACCCACATGGCCAGCAGGAACCCTCCCTGCCCACTCACTCCTTACCCGGTAAACTTGCCTGCTAAAATTGCTATTTTTCCTTTTTCTGACCATCATCTGTTCTGCTGTGCCGGGAGATTTAGATTAGCTAGGAAGCAAGAAATGGTTGGATTTCTTGCTTTCTACCTAGTCTTTAGATCTTGGGCTCAGCACAGCCAAACCTCCCTTAGGACTGAAGGTTTGCTTGCAAGCAAATTCAGTGCAGACTCATGGCAAGCAAATTTTATGTGACAGACTCAGGTAGCCCATGGCAGATGGATAGATCACTGAATGATTCTGTGAGCAACTCAATCTGCCTGCTTTGCCCGATTTTGGGTAAAAATTGCTCCTTTTTAATAAAAAAAATTCAATATTTACATGCATGGTGTGTTGTGAGTTAATTTTGTGAGTTTGCTTGCAAGCAAAATTTATGTGACAGACTGAGCTAGCCAATGGCAGAGAGATAGATTTCTGAATGAATCTGTGATTCTGTGAGCAACTCAATCTGCCTGCCTGCTTTGCCTGATTTTTGGGTAAAGGTTGCTCTTTTTTTTAAATAAAAACTCCAATATTTATATAAATATTTATAATATTTACATACAAGCCATGACCAGCCAGTCACATGACCACCAAGCCACACCCACAAATTACGCCATGCCCACAGAACCTGTTAGTGGTCCCTGGGATCTAAAATTATGAGATTGGTGGTCCCTGAGATCCAAAAGGTTGCCGACCCCTGCTCTAAGCGGTTTAAAGAATCAGCCTATTGCCCCCAACAGTCTGGGTCCTCATTTTAACCACTTCGGAAGGTTGGAAGACTGAGACAACCTGAGCCTGGTGAGATTTGAAGTGCCAAATTGCAGGCAGCTGGCAGGCAACACAAATAGCCTGCAGTCAGGGATGGGATTCGACCGGTTCAGACCGGTTCAGGCGAACCGGATGTTACATTTACATCTGGTAAACTGAACCAGTAGGTGAACCGACCGGCTGGTCCCTCCCACCCCTCCCCTCCCAGGAGTCTCCACACGGCCTGTTTCGGATGCAGGTAAGGGCAGGATCCGCACGGAGGCTCTAGGAGGGCGAAAAACAGGTCAACCAGAAGTTCCAGAAACCTGTTTCCGGCTTCTGGAGCCCTTCCGGAGGCTGTTTTCATCCTCCCAGACACCCGAGGGAAGCCTCCGGACCCTGGGGAAGGCAAAAAAATGCCCCTCCCAGAAGTTCTGATAGGCCACACCCAGCATGGTCATGCCCACCCAGCAAATGGGCAGTGAACCGGTTGCTGGGTTTTTTGAACCCTAACCCTAACTCTGCCTGCAGTACTGCATTCTAACCGCTGCACCACCACGGCTCCTCCTAGTTCAGGAACGAAGCCTC